TGGAGGCACCCCACTCTACTAGGAAGCTTCCCATGCAAAGGCACTCAGCTCTCTTGCTTCGTGGGTCAGCTTTAGTGCTGTCTTGCGCTGGTCTCCTGGTTCTGCTGCTGCCAGTTCTCTGATGCTGCTTCTCGCCATCTGCGCCATCTCCAGAGTAACAGCTCTCCTCATTTCCTTCAGAGTCCTTACCAGAATTGTCTGACATCTATAATTCCACCAACAGTCTCTTTAAGGTAATCTAGGCTTTTACTATTAGGCACTTTAAAACTCTTCTAGCCTCTACCCATTCACAGTTTCAAAACCACTTCCACATTTTATGTATTTGTTAGAGCAGCACTCCACTGCTGGTACCAAATTCTGTCTTAGTTATCTAGTGCCGCTATAACAGAAATACCAAAAGTGGATGGCTTTAACGGAGAGAAATTTATTCTCTCACAGTCTAGGAGGCTAGAAGTCCGAATTCAGGGTGCCAACTCCAGGGGAAGGCTTTCTCTGTTGGCTTTGGGGGAAGGTGCTTGTCATCAATTTTCCCCAGTTGAATAGCTTCTCGGTGCAGGGACCCATGTTTCTTGGTGGTATGAGGTCCCTCTGTCTCTCTGCTTGCTTCTCTCTTTTATATCTCGAAAGAGGCTGACTTAAAGCACAACCTAATCTTGTAGATTGAGTCCTGCCTCATTAAGATAACTGCCTCTAATCCTGCCTCATCAACATCATAGAGGTAGGATTTACAACACATAAGAAAATCACATCAGATGACAAAATAGTGGACAATCATACCATACTGGTAATCATGGCCTAGCCAAATTTACACACATTTTGGGGAATACAATTCAATCCATAATAGTGGCAAAGCTGAGTTTTGAACCCAAGCCGACTGGCTCCAGAGCCTATACTCTTAACCAGCCCATTATGGTACTTCTCAATGAATGCAAGTTTTCTTTCCCCCTCTACCTAGAAGGCCGCTTCCTCTTCCCTAGTTTCTTCACATGAACTTCTACTCATCCTGCAAGACCCATCTGGAGGAGAGCTCCTTGGTCTTCTTCTCTAACCACCACAAGCAGAGAAGCTTTTTCAGCAACCCCAGGTGATACTGTTTGAACCTGTCTTCAGCACACTGTAGTGATTCCTGGTGAAGGAACAATGACCTATAACTGTCTAACAGTAACTACCTGGAGTTTCTAAAACTCTCGGTATGAATGCTAAGATTGCTGACTTGTGTTAAGATATGCATACAAAGAGCTTACAGAGATAAAGGTCTGCATGGGGCTGGGTCTCACCTGGGGAGAGGTGCCTCCTGGCCTTCATCACTTGGAGAAGAGGCTACCACTGGACAAGGGAGCCCTAGGTAAGGTACAGACTAGACTTCAGTCTTGACCAAGACAGTGCCGAGATAACTAGGAGGGAGAGTCTAAGAAATGAATGGTAAATACACCATTCACTCAGAAAAGACAGTCCAGAAGCTGGGAAATGAGGAACCCAAAGTACTAAAGTTGGGCAAGTCCTTTGGGGCTGGCACCTGGCTACAACCAAAGCAAAGACAGACTCAGACAATGCTGTGAGCCATAAGAACAAGCTGTAATATGGTAGCGCCAGAAAACTAGACTTGCGAGTCAGATTGTTTTTATAATTTATATTCCCTTATAAGTCTTCCTTTGGTATCAGGTACAGTTCCAGTCTGTCTTAACTGCACTAAGATGAACAGAGGGCAAGGGTTTTTACACACTCTTGGGCCTCAAGATTAGAGTATTATCAGCTCACTACCGAGGGCAGCATAAAGGTAAAAATGGTCATCTAAGTGGAAGAATCCTCCGAAGAAAGGTAAAATTTAGGAGAGAATAAAGGCTGTGCAAGCCAGCCACTGCTCCCCAGGTGAAAATTCTCTTCTTGATACTAACTCTCAGAGGTTATGGTTTTGTTTCATTAAACAGTAGTTTTCTAAAATTTCCCCTGACTAAATTGTGAGCATCTTGAAAAGAAGGACCTTGTTGTTTTTGTCAAGGTTGTATGCACATGTGCCTGCAACATACTAGGAACTCAAATGTTTGTTGATCAAATGAAGCAATGCATAGACTTTCAGAGTTTTACAGCACTTTTAAAGGCTTCCAACCCAATCATTTTCCCACAAGCGTACATCTGTCCATATAGGGCTTTCATAGGTCCTCGTAAAACTCATTCAACAAGTATCAATTAAAGCAAGCACAACAAAGAACAGATGAATCACTGATACAACAGATGTTTACTGAGGGTCTGCTGTGTGCCAGGCACTATGCTAGACCCTGAAAATACTATAATAAATAAGACAGACACTACCCCTTACAGAACCAATGAAGAAGATAAATGGACATAAAGTATCTATAATACTGCTTAAAATAGAAAATGTTAAAAGTTTTCAAAAGTATACATAAGGGGCTATAAGGGTCAGAGGTCAAAAAGGTAATCCAAAGTTTCATAAGAACTTATGAGATACTATCATTCAGGAATGAACATTATTTGTGGTTTAACCTTACAGTTCAAGAATGAAGATTACCAGTTGCTAGCAGAAGCAGTTAATACTAACGGCTTTGCAGGTTTTAATGAAAATCAATATTCTATCTTTATATCGTTAGCATCACGTCAAATTACACTGATAATGGATTTTGAAAAGAAAGAATACTGATCAATTCTCTTTATTGAAAACCAGAACAGACAATGAGCTCTAAATAACAAAGTTATCTTCACATTTGAGTGTATGGCCACAAAAACACAGACTTGTTGACATGGTAATAACAAAACATAAAGAACTGCTGTCATTGTTAGCTGCCATGGAGTCATTTCCAACTCATAGCAACCCCATGTGTGCAGAGTAGAACTGCTCCATAGGGTTTTCAAGGCTGTGACCTTTCAGAATTAGATTGCCAGGCCTGTCTTCCAAGGTGCCTCCCTGTGGGTTCGAACCACCAACCTTTTGGCTAGAGATAGTCGAGCGCTTAAGTATCTGCACTACAAAGGCACTCCATATAAAGAACAGTCTTAGACTTACGTGTGGGTCTTATTCATTTAATAGTAACTCTGTATAATAAAATAATTTCTATTCTTCATATTGTTAACTAGGAAAATGAAAATTAAGCTAAGACATAGCTAAGCATTGCATTCTTCTGTCTTATAATCAAATGAAATTTATCCTTCAGTTCTTTCACATACACCACTTCAACGTCTCCAAATACTCTAGTAGGAAATACATCCTACTGAAGCTGTTTCCTTGAAGGTAAACACACTGGAATGGGAATCAAGAAACAGGAGCTCAGGCTGGCTCCACCAACAACTACATGAACTTGGACAGTTAACAAGCTCTCTGGCCAAAATCTCCTTCTCTGTATAATCAAGCTGTTAGAGCAAATAATTTCTAGTATGCCTTTCAACTCAAACAAAAAACTGTGAAAACCTACCTTTACTCCCAAACCATCAACCAAAGCAAAAGGTTTCAAAACTAACTTACAAGAAGCTTAGGTTTAACTACCTTTCTTCTTTCCTGATCTGATTCAACGAACTTATGAATCTTCTACAGCAGTCAGGTTGAGCAGTTTCATACCTAGTAGTCACAGACTTGGAACAAGATGCCAACAATATATTCCTTTAAAAACAATTTTATAACAATGAATCTCTAGGTCCAGAAGTAGTCCTTATAAGAAGATTTTGCCTCTATCGAAAAATTAACCTCATATAAGGCTTCTTTGCAAATTTTCAAAAGGTTCCTACATCCATGTATTCAATTTCAGTAATGAATTTCTTCTGTTCATAGCAGACTGCTTGCCATTGGTGTATGTGTACAATGTTTTCCATTGGATCCACACAGGAAATGAATCAGGCGCTATTTGGCCATTTGTATCAAGTGTAATGTAGACAAGAATACTGAAGAACCTAAAATTTAACAGGCAAATTTTTTTGAGGCTACACTGTATGCAAAGTAATGAAATGGCTATAGAGACAGTAATGAACACTTCATTGCTTTACCTCTGCAATTTTAGGAGTCACAAAGAAATAATCTCTACCTTAGCATGATCTGAACTTAAATTACAAAAACCTAACTACGTTTTAAGGTGAAGGCCCCTTCTCAAGTACTTCTAGCATTACCTTTTCTAGAACGCTAGTAGATAAATTACCATAACTACGTCGTTCACACAGCATTTCTCTCTGGAAAGGTAGGATCAGCAGCCTTATTTCTGCATATTAAAGGACATTAAGTTGAAGCCAAAATTTCATTGTCTGAAGAAAGGAGAATACCGAAGGCAGTACAACTAGCTTTACTTCTGCAAATTAAGCAAAATAGAGCAAAAAGAAAGGAAGCAAGCAAAGGGGAGGAACTGAAAAACTATCTGCAGTACTGGTTCCTTGCATGTTCTAGGCGCTTCCCCTTGCGCACGAAGAGATAAAGAAGAGAAAGGAGAGAAGACAACACGTAAAAGCCCGAAGTTATTCTTTTCATAGGCTGCAATATTCATTGAATTCAGTGTAAAATGTCCGGGAGATCTGGATTCGGTGAGAATGTCTGAAAGAAGGGAGTGGCATTTGCTTTCTCAGTTTGGAGTCCTAACAACTGTCCCCGAGAGTTCCCAAAAACCCTTAATTATCTCGAAGAGATGGCTCGGAGCAGCCTCCCGGCGCACACACCTGCAGGCCCGGGAGGCTCCTCCCTCTCCCCCCACGGATCCTCAGGACAGCACCAAGGTCCGGTGTCCGACGCACCGCTAGCCTAACGGCCACTCGGGCCCCGGCAGAGCCACCCGGCTCAGGGCGAGGCCAGAGCGCACACCGCTGCCGGGCTCCGCTTCCCCGAGTCACGCAGCGGCGGCGGCGCGAGCTGGACACCAGCACCACTGGGATGCGCACTATAATACAACTTGGGAGAGCACGTCTACACTTGCGCGAACGCAGAGGCAGAGCCCCGGCGCGGCGCTCGGGGACCGCCGGCCCGTCCCGTCCCGTCCCGCCCCTCCTTGAGGCAGAGGGGCAGCGGTCCGTACCTGTCCTCTGAGACGCTGATGACGCCCTCCTCCTTGGGCACGATCACGGCCATATTCACCACCTCCTGGGACCCCTCCACCCGCTGCAGCAGGATCGGCTTGCGGGTCTGTGCCTTGGGCTGGATCTCCGCCGCCATCGGAGGAGGGGGCGCGGCAGTGCCGGGCTGAAGAGACCGCTCGGGCACCAGCACAGGCTCTGGTTGGCCGGAGCGGGACACCGGGGACCGGCGGTCATAGCCTAGCCGCCGCTCCCGGGAACGACTCAGCGCTCCCAGCTTAGAGCAACAACCCCCGCCACCACAGAGGCGCGGTGAAGAGCCGGGGGCGCGGCCTGCCGGGGGCGGGGCCGGCCGCAGGAGGTGGCCGCTGGTGGGCGCGAGGGCGGCTTCACTTCCGGGAGAGTCGTGGAGAAGGAGGGGAAACTGAAGGAGGCGGGGTTCTGGCGGCTCAATCCGCTTGCGTAAGCAACCAACCCATTTCCGTCCCGCCCCTCGGCCCCTCCCAAAGCCACGGGCACCGCCGTTAGTACGCATGCGTCTTCCTTTCCCCTCAGTCATATATTTGCTGCCTCCATACCCATTTCTTAGTCCCCTCCCTCTTTATTATAGCGTGAACGGTTGGGTACACACCCCTGGGAACGCGCTTGCCAAAGGCCCTGCCTCCTCCAAATTTCCTGAAAAGTGGGTGGAGGTGGGGCGGGGAAAAGCGTGCCTCTGCAAGGCCGGAAACAGAAAAGTCCTGAAGGAAGGACAGGAAGCTGAAGTGGTTGGGACGTGACTGGGCATGCGCGCGATTTACCTAGCCTTTGCGGCTTTAACAATGAAGCGTGCGGTGGGCAGCTACTGTTCCCAACATGCACCAGGCCCAGGCCGGGTGGCACCCTGTGGTCTCCTGGGAGTTGTGGTTTCACGGAGGTTCCTCTCCGTTGTCCTGGCTTGACCCGTCGCTCACTTTTCAGCGCTTCTGGCTTAGGGAGCTCAGTGGCGTAGGGACCATTGGCCGAGTTGGGGTCTGGCTTGGCCTCTAAAGCAAGGAACTGCGGGACAGCCGCCGGCTGAGCAGACCTTCGCTACGCGCTTGGTTCAGGCGGCTGCCCATAATTGTGGCGCACCTAGAGCTAGGAAAGAAGAGAACATCCCAACAGGAAGCTTAGAGATCATCTGTAGTGTCAGTCTCCTCATTTTCTTTCTTTTTTTTTTTTTAAATTGTACTTTAGATGAAGGTTTACAGAGAAAATTAGTTTTTCATTAAACAATTAATACATTGTTTTGTGACATTGGTTGCCAACCCCAGGATAGGTCAACACTCTTCTCGACCTTGGGTTCCTGGATACCAGTTTTCCTGTCCCTTCCTGCTTTCTCGGCCTTGCCCCTGGATTGGTGTGCCCATTTAGTGACGTTTTATGGGCCTGTCTAATCTTTGGCTGAAGAGTGAACCTCAGGAGTGGCTCCTCATTTTCTCAGATGTCTAAGTTACTAGCGCAAGGTCATACAGGTAGTTATACTTGAACCCAGGTGGCCAACTCCTAGTCCCAACCTGTTTCCAATCCCCAGCAATCCAGCCTTTTTAACCTGCTCCAGAGAAAAAAGAGTTACTGTGATTAAATGATCGAGAGAATGTTAGGTGCCCAGCATTGCCAGAGCTCCAGGCTAGCTGGGGAGCAGGGTCTATGTGGTGGGATTGGGCTGACAGGGCTCTGGAGGTCAGAGAAATAATATACAGAGATGGCCAAGGTACACAAGAACAAGCCTTGTGGAAATGCATTTCTAAGGCAGGTTTTTGGCAGCCAAAGAGTATGGTACAAAGGACCTGTTTCAAAACACACAATGCAACTCTACCACCTCCCATCTTTGCTGAGATTCTGTACGGACCTTGAAAAGGGGATTCAGGTATTTCCAGCTGTGGAACCTGGAGCAAAGTATTCCACTACAATGAGCCTCAGGTTCCCCATCTACTGAATGATGATAACAAATACCTTGCTGGTATGCTTACAAATGATGTATTTTAACCTTGCATACAAATGACATATTCTAAGTGCCTTCATGTGCTATAGGTCCTTTTAAGCAGTAGTGGCAGTTATAGTTACGAGCCAGACACCTTCCCTGGGAGGAGCATCTTCTCATCCCCTTAAAGGTATGGAGGAAGTGGCAAGGGCTGTCCCACCCCAGACCTTGTGGGAATTACAGTCTGGGTGGGATCACTGCAACCCTGAGTCTGGCCTTCAATTCTGCAGAGCCAGAATCTCCATCTTCCCATTCATTCAGGAAACGTTTAGTGAGTAACTACTCAGTCTAGGCAGTGGGGACATAGATTCGAATAACACAGACCTCTCAATTCTCAAACGATCTCACAGATCACCAGAGATAGATAAGAGAACAAGCAAGGATAGTGCAGTGATGATGTGAAGAGTTGTGATGGGGGAACACATGGGCAGAGGAGTGCAGGAGAATTATATAACCTGAGCTGAGGCAGGGCGGGGGCTGGGGTTGTACAGGAAGGGTTGCCCAGAGAAGGTGTAATCTAAATAAAGTCTTGAAGTGCAATCAGGAGCAAGCAAGTTACATTGTTTTGTTTTTTGTTTTTGTTCTTTATAAGTTACACTGGTTTGAAGAGTGTTGGGAGGAGGTGGGTAAAGGGCCTGGAGGCAAGCACAACATGGTTGTTAAGGAAGTGAAAGAACTTTAATAGAGCTGGAGCAGCCAACCGAGGCTTATAGCAGAGGGAGTGAAGATGAAGACATTACAGGACCTCAGTATGGAGCCATGGCCTGATGCACCTTGTCCTTATTAGAAAGGGGTGCCCTCTGAACACCTGCCACTTCATCCTCAGGTGGGATGGGCACTCAAGTAAACCATCAGTTACGATACAGTGTGGCAGCTGCTGTAATGGAGGTACTATAAAGTGCAGTGAGACCCAGAGACCTGAGTCTAGCTGGGAAGTTGGAGAAGGTTTTCTGAAAGAGGAGGAGCTCATCTGGAGTATGGGAGCGGTAAGTCCAGGCAGAAGGAAAAGCATGTGCAAGGGGTTGGTAGTAGAAGAATGCCTGGCTTCTTCTGGGGACCTCATATAGATGGAGGGCACAGTTTGATAACAAAGTGAAGTTTGGGAGATTGGGCTGGAAATATGGGCAGGAGCCATGTCAAAGAGGACCTGAAGAGCCATGCTTGGGAGTTTGAGTTTTAACCTTTATATGATGGGGAACTGTGGTATCCTCAGATCATGCCTCTACTGAGCCCAGCACAAGATCAGGCTCCCAGAATGGTACAAGAGACATTTACTGCTCTGAGGGAAGGGGGTGGGGAGGGGGACACATTGTTGGAAGGTGAAATAGATGAGAGTTAATAATTATAGAGCAACCGCTGTGTTCCACATACTGCAGCACTTTATCCCTACAAATGTATTTGTTGGGACTCTTGGTTACAGATAATAAAAACTCAACTGGCTAAAAAAAGAAATGGAGTATTACTGACTAATACCACAGAAAGTCAGAGAGGTAAAGTGCCTTTCCTAGAGTCACACAGTTATAACAAGTGACAGAGGCCAAACACAACCCACGCGTGTCTGTCTACCTAATCTCCAGGTTCATTTATTCAAATATTCCCACCCCACTGATTCTTTGACCTCATAGAGACCTCCAATCCACTCATCACACCACTTTTCACTATTTAATGTAGTCATAAGATTAAATGTTATTACATGTAACATTTTATAGACATAAAATATTTTTTAATTATAAGGGCTGAGAAACCTCATTCATATAAATAAATAGATGAGAATGGAAGGAGTTTGATTATAGCAATGCCACTCAATTCTTTGAATCCATTCTCTATTATGTGTCAAAAACCACATCACTGGGAGAAAAATTTTTGCAAGTCATGTATCTGATAAGGCGCTTGTAGCTAGAGTATATAAAGAACTTTTATAACTCAATAATAAAAAGATAAACAACCCAATTTAAAAATGAACAAAGGATATGAACAGACAGTTCTCCAAAGAAGATATACAAAGGGCTAATAAGCACATGAAAAGGTGCTCAACATCATTAGCCATCAAGGGAATGCAAATCCAAACCACAGAGAGAAGGTTGAGCAAGGTGGTGGTGTAAGCAACAACAAAACCAAAAAAAAACAAGCAGAAATTGGTGGAATCCATGGTCTCAGAATTCTGAAAAACAGTCAAAGAATTACACTAAGTAAATGCTACATCAAGAAAATGGCAATATATGAATGATAGAAGAACATTGGTCCTGCACCCATCCACAGAAAGCCATGGGACAGCTGCAGTGGCTGAAACTTACAGTAAGGAGCATGGTGTTGTGTAGTCACACCTTTGATGTCCTTTCCAGGGCACACTATTTTAATTTTTACAATAGAATTTTCCAGATCTTAAATTCTGGCTTTTTTTTTTTTTTTTTTTTTTTTTTTTTTTTTTTTTTTTTTTTTTTTTTTTTTGCATAGTTGATGTCTCAATTTGTCTCTTTCTTCCTGCATTTTACTATAAGCAGCAAGGAAAAGCCACACTGCCCCTTTAAGATACTTCTTAAAAATCTTCTTAGCCAAGTATCCATATTCATCACTTACAAATTCTAATTTCCACAAAACATTCAAACATAAATAAGACAAGTTCTTTGCCACTTTGTAACAAGGATCAACTTTTCTCCAGTGTCTAATAACATGTTTATTGTTTCCTTTTAAAGCTTCACCAGAAGCACATTTAACCTCCACATTTCTGGCAACATTCTGCTCATGATGATAGAAGCTTTCCCCACAGCTCTCAATCCATTCTAAACCCTCATCAGAATTGCCCTTAATGCCCATTATTCTACCAACAGTCTCTTCAAGGCAATCAGGGCTTTTACGATCAAGGCATCAAAATTCCTCCAGTCTCTACACATTACTAAATTCCAAAGTCCTTTCCACACTTTAGATATTTGTTAGAAGAGCATCCCCACACGCTGGTAACAAATTCTGTCTTATACATGTCTTATATGTCTATTTCTTATATGCTGGTGCACCCAGACAGGTACCTTGTGTTGAAGTGGCCACAGCCAGCCCACCTAGGTGAGGGGTCTGGTGTTGAAGTGGCAATAGCTGGCACTAACAGACAGGGAGCCTGATATTAAAATGGTGACAGCCAGCACACCCATTAAGGGAGCCTGTTTTAAAGAGGAAGACTGTAGCCGTCAACAATTAAAAAACAATGAGAAAAGGAGGAGGAGCAAACCCTGGGAAGGGGAAGAATCTGATTTCCAGAGTTACCACAGTATAATAGTCAAATGTCCCTTTGTGTGCAAGGAATACAGAGCAAT